TACATTATGTGAATCCTCTGCTCCCTCAATCTCGCGACAGCATCATATATTGGATCTTCATCGTCTCCAATATCTTTTACTTCCATCCCATCAGATCCCCACTTCACAAACATTCCGGTTTCATTGAGCCAAATTGGTCAAGTGCGATGAAGGTGCCAGTGCGGTCACATCCAGCGCTGCAATGCACCAGTCTAGGCCCACTCTTATCCTTGCTATTTCGATTAGTCAGAAATCTTGTGATCTTGATCAAACTTAACAAGGCTGCTTGGTCTCGAGGGGTTTGTGGAATATCGTAGTCGGGCCATCCGAAAAAGAGAAGGTAGTGGATCGTTCTCGTCTCCTCGCCACGTTCACCATCTCCTGCCAGATCGACAACTACATATGAGCTTCCTTCACTGGGCCGCGACAAGCGATGAAGCTCTCTTTCACCTTCGCAGTGCCCACATTGTTGACCTCCACATTCGCGGGAGCTATAGCGAGTGAAATGTTGGGTGCATTAACGTATGGATAATGCAACTCTTGTAGCTCGATACGATTTTCGGACCACTAGATAATATTCGTCCAGCGGTTGCGGGAATGGACCATAGGATGAGATGGTCTCGAGCAAGGATCTTGTATACATTACCCTATAATGGCTTCTAGCGTGCCAAATTGTCCCTGGGTTAGGGGTACCCCCCCCTGGATGCGACATAAATGCCTGAGATACCAACTTCTGCCCCCGTATATACAGCCTGAGCCCCTGAATTAAGCTCTACCGAGCGTTTTTCACCACCCATTTACTACGCCAAACAAATTTCTTCTTTCTCGTTCCTTGCTGGTGTGGCCAGCGATATTGTGGAAATTTTGACCTCCAAACTTTGAAGTGTTGATGATTGTGAGAGGTCTACTAAGGAAAAGTTGACTTTATTATGCCCGGGGAAGCTTCTTGGTCCCGGCGCTTTGTTTTAGTTTTTCGTATTCTTTTAAGAAGAGATCTACCGAGCGCGAAGTAGTCACATTACAAGATATTGTTCTCGGGCGACATAGTTTTGCGGTCTCTCTCCAAGTGAGGATATGGATTGAGTCAAGTGGGCGGTCCGCTAATATCAACTAGATAGTCGGGCCTTGATATCTTATGGCGGCTTCTTTCGATTAGCCTTAATCATATGTGGACGAATTATGTGACGGTAGGTGTAGATCCTCGGGCGGTTGAGCAGCCTTGTAGAATTCCATGGTAGGATGCGGGGTGATATGCAGGACCACAGAGGATGGAGAAACAGCCTCGCTGGTCGCTCCTACAGCCCTAAGTAAGTGAACTTGATGATTCGAAACTTCCAATCACACAGAGAGTACCTTGAATCTTAAGCAGTGCAGACAGGGAATGGTTCTCATTGGAGGCTATAACCCCCTGAAGTAAACTCTACTATTTATAAGGAGTGGTAAAATTGCGTGAAAAATTCATCAACCAAATCTCAAATTGCACCTTTTTAACCCGTCTAATAATATGATCTTGACTTTTATTCGTGCCATCATTAAGGAGAGTAGTATAATTTTTCAATTTTCGTCAATTCAACAGTGTTGAGGAGAGTCGTGAAACGTAACTTCACCATAATTCTCAGCAAGCAGTAGGTCCCTTACACCCCACGGTTTCTCAATTGAGTCCACCGGGTGTGTTTCAAATCAGCAAGAAGGTTTCAATGGAACTTCCGCACAGCTGTCCGGCCCACCCAAATCGGTTTGATGTTCACACTTCTGATTACAAGCAACGCCAGGGGCCACATGGACTCTGAAGTGGCCTTTGTTGTCACCCCATCTTGCTTGACGAGAGTCTGTGGATTCCATATCGCTTGCACGAAACCCAGCTCGACAGGCGCAGTATGTGTGCTGCCCTGCGTTAGTGCATGAGGTAGTTTCATTGTCGCATTGGGCAGGATACCCCTAAGGTCCATTAGCAATTATTAATGTGAGAAATATGGTCTATGCTTACAGGATGAGGATTGCAGGTGATTGGACAAGTCCCTGTTTTCGGCGCACTGGGATCAATGGGTGGTACTGAAGATGGCTCGTGATATGATGGTTGGCATTTAGTTTCAGTGCAGTGCTCAGTATAGGTTGCTGTGGACGGAGTTGTACGTGTTGTCTCGGTACAAGGCTCCGTCGTAGTTGTCTGCGTTTCCCATGTAGGTGGATATTCGGTTGTCGATGGTGGAGGTGAGTACGATGTCTCGTATGGTGGGTAAGAGCTACAGTCCTCACATTGAGGCGGCACTTCTGTGGTTGCAGGAGGTGGTGGTGTGTATGATGTGTCGTATGGTGGAGTAGTGCTGCAATCATAGCATGGTGGAGGCACTTCTGTGGTCTCAGGAGGTGGTGGAACATATGTGCTTGTAGATGAAATGCTTTCCGTGTAGACTGCCGGAGGGGTGCTAGAATACTCAGTCGTGGAAGGAGGTGGAATTTCAGTAGAGTAATCCGTGGTAGAACTGCTCTCGGTGTAGACTGGGGGCGGTACTGTAGACTCATACTCAGTGGTGGGTGGTGGGGGAATCTCGGTTGACCAATCTGTGGTCGAAGTGCTAGTTGTATAAACTAGCGGGGGCACCGTAGAGGAAGAATATTCGGTCGAGTAAATGGGAGGAGTTTCCGTAGAGCAGTCAGCTGTAGTGGTGCTTTCCTCGGTGTTTGGGGGAGGTTGAGAATATGTATACTCAGTCGAGAATGTCGAAGTAGTCTCCGAGCATTCGTAGCAAGGGGTGCTAGTAGTATATTCTGGAGGAGGTGGTAGGCTTGTAGTCCAAGGGGGTGGAGGCACTGATTCGGTGGAGTAGGATGAAGTGCTTTCTGTCGTGCAGCTCGTGGATGTGGTGCTATCCGTGAGTGTCCAAGTTGATGCTGTGATATGGGTTGATGCTGTGATCCATGTAACGCAATATTCATACTCCCCGCAGCCAACAGATGAGGTGGTGTGCTCGTCATTTCTTTCGACTATACCCTTGGGCATGGCAGACACCACCGCAAAGAGCGTGGAGACTGTGATATTGCGGATCAACATTCTGACGATTGCGAGCGTGATGTCTTGATTAAGAAAATAATGCAAGAAAGGTAGTGAGCGTCACAAAGAAAATTGAACGTGTTATGGAAAGAAGTAGAGGAAAGCGATTGTGATGGTAGAATGAAGGAAACATTGAGAGAAGATCTCCTGTTTATATAGCGGTCCTCTCGTTGATATTCTCTACATGAGCTCGCGTTAGTATTCCAGATCGAAGGCGCAGTACACCGCCAATTTGGAGATAATGTTACTCAGCCAGTTTTGTGAGCTGGCAAACGTTGTTATAATAGCCAATATAACCGTGTAACAGAGCTTCTAATTCTTCTACGCCTCTGTGTTACTCACTTTGACCCTCCCAACACGAAGAGCACTGCGGAGGCGCAAAGTGTGGAACACAAACACTTGCTCGAGGTGAGTTCTGATTGCTTAAAAACTATGCCACGCATTTCAGACTAAGAATTAATCGAGCATGTAGTACAGCTCAGGGTTTCAAGCGTATGTCATATTTCGGAAGGAACATTCTTCATGGATCCAACTCCAACCCAACGCTGGCGAGAATACGATCTTTGACGGCACGCATTCATTCATATGTAGAAGTGGCACTGTAGGGCCGTTCATGAGACTACAAGGCTGGGTTTCTCATGTAAGTAGGGGTTCTGACATAAAGAGACATCTGTATTTGCTGTTAACATAAATAGATGTTGGCTTGTTGGATGGCGTTTCTTGGCGACGTTGTAGGGCTGGGCCTTTGCCTCAAGAATGCAGCTAAACAATTTTGCCCGGCATCCTTCAGCTGCATCATGATTGGAGGAATTCTGATTGCGCCGATGTTACAAATAGTTTGAGGTTTAGAATGGACCAGAGGTAATATCACCTCGGCTCGGCTCGGCTCGGCCGGGCGTGGAAAGTGTTCTAAACATCAGCAGCAAAAATAAGGGAAAGTACTGCATCCTATGTTATGTATAGAAAATAAATACTGACTCTACGTGAGTCAGGATTCTCAACTTCCCGATCTTCAAGAGAATTAGCCAAATTCTCGTTGTGAACATGGCCTTTTAAACTTAATATTATCGAAGTTGTAGGCTAATCAGCAAACATCTAATGTATAGTCCTAATTTCATATCTTTTGGGTATCTTCTAAATCAATAAAAATGGAAAGCTTCTTTTCAAGGATTAACTGGAAACAAATCCCATATGCTTGTGGAAGGAAATATGTGAAAAGCCCGCCGACTTAATGGACAATCCAGCTGCGGTAGCTTCTGATGTCTAAGTTCGCGAGGACAGTTTTCTATAGAATACTTTTCACCCAGAATTGCACTCTTGTCTGAGCTTGCTATGTTATCATCGCATCATTGGAAGCCGACAAGCGTTTCTGTTCGACTTAGTTGAACACTTGTATTCTAGACGCTAGGTGATTTTTGGCGGCCGCGAGGAACTCAATGAGTCACTCAGGAACAATTGTATCACTATCCAGCAAGTTCTAGCTAGTACTAAACCTAGAGGAAGCCACTCCCACATACACAACCTTCTGCCTCTCTATGTTGCGGTAGAAAATAAAGAGCTACTTACGCACTGCTCCTATCATTTTAAGACATTCAAATAAATTCCTTTCGTTATTTAAAAATTATCCCAACTAATCGTCCTGAACTCAAAGTTGCAGGTTAGTAAGGGGAGGGCCAACGCAATAGCGAAATGCCGGCTCGCTTAAATTCCCTAACGTGGAGTTCCCACTTGCTTTAAAAAACTATCTTGACTAGAACACGAATCAAAAACGCTACACAACACAAAGCAGCAAAGGGCGCCAAAAGCCAAAAAGGGAGAAGGCAAGAATCAGGCTAGCGACCTTAGAGAATTCAAATAACTTGTCGAGTCGAGTGGGTGATGCGGGGAGTTCTCGCTTAAAGAAAAGGTCTAAACAGCACGAAGCAACAAACACCATATAATGACAGTAGCAAAATAAATTAAAAAAAGATGGAGATGCAGGGAATCGAACCCTGGACCACTCCCACATAAGGGCCGAGGAACCTGCTAAGGGAGTATTATACCACTAAACCACATCCCCATGGAAATCACAAACTTTATTGTTTTACAATTGTAATCCAAAATCTGGTCGCCGCTTTTCCGTTTACCGTTCTCGGTGCTGCTCATGAAAAGATATTTCTATGTCTATCCAGAGCAGTGACAGATAGGCGAGGAATTATAAAGACTTGTAGGCTAATTAAAAATGTATTCTTTTATCCAGGATTGTTTGAGAAGCAGATGCGCTTTTGGGAATGCTCGTCGCAACACTAGAGCAGCCTAGTATTGCATATCTTGTGCCCGAATTTGAGATGCTCAACAACATCAGAAAGCTGCTTCCCAATCAATCGAGAAATTTGTGTATGGGATGAGGATACAACTCGCTACTATGATGATTCTTCCCAGAGTCTCGTAGGATGACGGGTGACTACACATTGCCTAGCATGCAAAAGCAAGAAGAAAGGCGACGCATTATGGAGAGCAACACTGCGATTTATAAGTGGACTCAAGCCTGTCGTAGCGACAATAGCCATGAGTGTCAACCACCACCACCAGTGGGCCAAAGCCGGTACCATTTACCACAATCACCACGTAACCTAGACCCAGCCGAGAATTCTGATGATATATAGCCATATCATGATAGTGTTAGTATTCGCGAGAACAGGCTAATTAATGGGGAGGCGTACTTTGATCGTAAAGATGGGAATATGAGTGAAGCCAACGTTGGATTGATGAATGTCCCTCGACAATGGAACAATGCGCACTCTCTGCCCTTTATCTTAGTGATAACCATTCAGCCACCCAGCTCAAACAGTGCCATGAATAGTTCAGATGCGCTGCAGACAATATATCTATAGCCTCAAAAGCCTCAAATTCTGGTACACGCGGAAGAAATGAGCGTGGTCTTGCTGAGATGGATTCTACCAATCGTGGTGACCTCCTTGTGAAACTAGGTGTTAGCAAACAAACTGAGACTGATGAATCAGATGAGATCTGCCACTGGACAGAAAAGTGGAGGCCTAATGATGCTCTCTCAACCACCTTCATAGCCCTTCGACTTCTGCGTAAAACCAATAAAAAATTTATGTTCACGGAGCCCCCAACTCCAGATAGTCAACGGAGTGTTTCAGTTGAGTATAGAGTATGTCTAGAAGTAGAATTAGGGTAGAAAAAGTTGATTATCAGTTACCTGTTATGAAACCCCGCTATATGTTATCCAGATGAGCTTCTTGTATTCACCTCTCTAGCACACTTCATTCGGTATCTTCGTATACCTAATATGCTATATAATACACCTATCTCCCTTCTCTAAGTTATCTTTCCTCTTCTATCTCAACCTTCCACCCTCATATTCACTTGCCAAGGTATGGTGGAAACAGCGTACGCTCCCCATTGTACCTCGAATAATACTAGCGATAGAAGTAATAATAGTGGTGTTTCTTTATCACCCTATACCTTAGGTGGTAGGTAGTCTGTGTTTTTGCTTCTTTCTCACTCTCTCGACTCGAATTTTCAAATCTATAAGTAAATGTAGTAAAATAAATAATATATTCTATGTAAGAAACTACTAAAAAATATAGAATCTGTAGGCGCCGTTTAGGAGATGCCTAGACAACTTGGATTGATATTCAAATAAAATATACGAGCCTGATTGTTTTCATCAACAGACATGATATCACATCGAAATAGTCTCTTAATGGTAAATAATAAAATGATTTCGCTCTAAAAACGGCCCATTTTTGCATAAATAAGGTCAGAATTTCGTACACCTCCAGCATGGTACAGCATGGTACAACAAGATACAGTAAGTAATCTTTACAAATCGTATAACGTGGTTTATCAGGACCCGGATCATATCAGTACCCGAATCAATTTTACCGAGTTCCCTACCCCCTTCATTTCTTACGTGTTTTTCTACTTTCTATTATGTCTATGATTACACAAGAAGCGAAAATCATTACGTAGTTTATAAGCGAGTCGTGTTGATATGCGAGTCGTGTTTATATGCGAGTCGTGTTTATATGCGAGTCGTGTTTATATGCGAGTCGTGTTTATATGCGAGTCGTGTTTTTTCCTCTACTACTTCACATAATTAAATAAAAAACAAAACAACATTATATTATTTACTCTTAAAATTAAATTAAATTAAATTATATATTGATCGGGCATCTACGAGCAGTGTGTTCTAGTGATTTACACATACTACACCGATTTAGGGCACAAATCCGAGGCTTTTTTGGCTGATCTGTAACCCCACTAGTAGGCTCTATTTCACCCATTTGCGACCGTTGAATACCCTCCTGGGCCGTTAAAACACCCCCAGTAGTAATGTATTACCTACGTACTGATTTCTTCTTCTTCTGCCTTGTATTTTCGGTCCGTAACTGCCTATTTTCTTCTGTAAGAAGTACTACACTGTACATCGCCATTTGACAGCCTTTGACTAATTAATCTAATACAATATCCGTAGGGCTCGGTGGAGTTGTCGTACGACGTTTAATATAGTCTTTAATTACTTGTGTTTAAAGCTCTAATTCACTAATATTATGAGGCGTTTCAGGGACCCATTTGCTTTGCTCGATCGTAATAGTAGGAGGAGGAGTAGGGGTCCGTAATTAGGTATTAAGCTTTGAGAGCACTCGTTCAGGATTGTACGGGATTAAACCTATACCTCCAAATCTATTACGGATTATATTAGAAGTAAATGACTCCGTACGGGCAGTAATATAAGCTAAAAGAAAGTCAGGCTTGTCGATATAATTCAGCCCAGCCCGTATATAATTCTTAATCTGCCGCCTATATAACTTTTTAGGACAGTAAAGTAGCTTACATCTAATGGCTGTAGAAGATGAAACGAGTGGGGTGGTATACAAAGAGTAATAATTGAATGCTCTAAGTAAAATAAGTCGAATTCTGGAGTAGAATGGCTCCCATAGCTATTAAGGATCAAAAGTCGATATACTCCTCTCGTACGGCTCTTAGTATACCGTTCAAAGATGTCCGTAAGCTAGATTAGGCCTAAAGAGTTATTTGTCTATCCCTTTTCACTAACTACAACGACCTAATCCTTAGGTAGAGTATTAATATACTAAGTGAATATATAAATCTTACCTTTAAAAATAATTATCAGTAGTACGCTCTATCCGTTAGTACAGATAGATTTAATAGCCGTAACCTATTCCCGGTTTCCTAGTTATATATAAACTAACTATAAGAGGCCGGACCTTAAATAACTCGAAAGGAATAGTTTCTGAAATTTAATTAAGAAGTACGTAGAGAGCTTATAAAAGCGTAGCTCCTACGAGGTCTTATATACATACGAAGAGGTAACTAGAACCTTCTAGAAGTAATAGGATAGAGTAGCGTCGAACTAAATCGAATTCTACTCGGGGCTAGTACTTAGCGAGAGCTTTTAGCCTAAGTACACTCTAGGGTCCTAACCCTTACATTACCCCCCTTCTTTTCTTCGCTTTCGCCTAGCTATATCCTCCTTCTATTTAACTAGGGCGGTAGTACCCTCTATTATCGATTCTAGCTTCTAAGTCGGATGTTTATAACTAACCTACTTAACTAGGTACTTCTGTCGATTACCTCTTCTAGAAGCTTTCTTCTAGTTAAGTATACGCTCTATCTTATACTCTTTTATGTTATCGACTAGTATTATAGGAGGCTAGCTTTCTTCGATAACCTATCCTAGTAGTAGCGTCGCGTATATAGGTCGTAGAAGTCTAGTATAAAATATATTATATATACCTAGTAGTATATTTAGGCGGTAGCTATAAGATCTAACGACCTCTATAACTATAAACTTTATATACCTAGTATCTAGCTTCTTATAGGACCTGTCTATTTTAATATTTTCTAGACTAAGTTATACCTTATCCCCTATCTAATAGCTAGGTGCCTAGTCGCGCTTCTAATTAGTCGCCTACTCCTAGGCTTCTTAGGCCGCCGCTATTACCGCTTACGCTCACTCTCTTACCTCTTTTAGTTTTCGTATAATTTAGTTAGCTTTAGCGATTAAGAAGTCTCTATTATCTACCTCTAATAATTTAATGTCTTTAAGTAGGCTCTAATACTATTCGTAGAATAGAAAGAATAGGCTTATACCTATAGATATTAAGTTCTATTTATATATTTTAGATATAGCTAGCGGTAACTATTTAAGTTAGTTCTACTAGGCCTAGTATATAAACTAGTGTAAGACTATTTTAACTACTTCGTTTATTTGTTTAGTAATACTATTAGTCTCTAGCGAGAAGGTAGTAGATAACCTACACTTAATTTATAGTAGCTTACATACTCTCTTTTATAGGGCGCTTATAAACTATATACCTCTATTAGAGATAATTACTAAAGATAGGAAGTAGTAGAGTAGATATTATCGTAGGAACTATTTAGCTACTATTTTAGCTTTAATATCTTCTAGGCTATCTACTATTATCTCTTTACTTAACTAATCTATAACTATAATTATATTTTAGTAGCCTTTAGAGACTAGTAAATCTATAATAAAGTCTATAAATATTTTAGACTATATTCGATCTAGTATAGATAGTAGCTTTAAGAATCTCTATTAGTAAGACCTTTATATCTTATTTCTCTTATAACTATTATAATTCTATATAAACGTACGAATATTAGTTACTATTTCTAGCTAGAAGAATAAGCGAGCTACTAGTATATATATAACCTCTCTACCTAGGTACCTATAGAGTACTATATTATAGGTTACTTAAATTAGGCGAGCTCTTAGGTTAAGGCTATTAGAGACCTATTTTCGTCCCTAGAATAGTAGGTAGTCTTATTCTAATATTATATACTTAGCTATAGACACTTTTAAGCTAAGCTCTATAGGAAACCTTCTAGCGCTAGCCTTTATAGCGCTTAGAGTCTTATTATACTTAGAGTCGCTTACTATAGTCTAATCTTAGTCTATAAGCTCGTCTAGTAGTTCTTCTATTATATAGTCTCGTAGGCTAGTAGAGCTAGCTCTAATAGAGAAAACACGAACTATAGAGCTTACTACTAGTATTTTAGGCT